CCTCTCTCTCCCTCTCTCTCTCTAACATCTCTCTGTCTCTGTCTTTCTGTCTCTTTCCCTCTGTCTGTCTCTGTCTCTCTCTCTGTATCTGTTTATCTCTCTCTCCCTCCCTCTCTCTCCCTCTCTCTCTCTAACATCTCTCTGTCTCTGTCTTTCTGTCTCTTTCCCTCTGTCTGTCTCTGTCTCTCTCTCTGTATCTCTTCGTCTCTCTCTCCCTCTATCTCTCTCTGTCTCCCTCTCTCTCCCTCTCTCTCTCTAACATCTCTCTGTCTCTGTCTTTCCCTCTCTCTCCCTCTGTCTGTCTCTGTCTCTCTCTCTGTATCTCTTCGTCTCTCTCTCCCTCTATCTCTCTCTGTCTCCCTCTCTCTCCCTCTGTCTGTCTCTGTCTCTCTCTCTGTATCTCTTCGTCTCTCTCTCCCTCTATCTCTCTCTGTCTCCCTCTCTCTCCCTCTGTCTGTCTCTGTCACTCTGTATCTCTCTCTCTCTCTCCTTCTCCCTCTCCCTGTGTCTCTGTCTGTCTGTCTCTGTCTGTCTGTCTGTCTCTCTCTGTCTCTCTCTCGCTGTCTCTGTATCTGTCTGTATCTCTCTCCCTCTCTGTCTCTCTCCCTCTCTCTCCCCCTCTCTGTCTTTGTCTCTCTGTCTCTCTCTCTCTCCCTCTCTCTCTCTCTCTCAGTCTGTCTGTCTCTGTCTCCCTCTCTGTCTCTGTCTCTGTCTCTCTCTCTGATTATTTCTCGACTTGTTGCATTATGTGAAGCTTTCAAAGGTGGCCCAGTTGAACTGGGATTGCTTGATCCTCTGAACTCTTGATTCTGGGGAATCCTTGCCTGTTTCAGTGGACGTGAGCTCCTTCAATTGCCTTGGGCCTGCTTTCACTGCTCCCTTAACCATCAGGGGGTTGTTGTAAATATTTAATGTGAAATATTGCAAAGAGACTGAAGCCTTAGATAAATGCCAGCTGCTAATTACCCTGCACCATAAAAATGAAAGTGCAGCATTGGAGCCAATTGTCTCTGTTAGCAAACAGTTCTTGTATGGGTGGAGGATTTGGGAAGCCAAAGAAGGTAGGAAACATCCTCACTTCCTCTTGTGCTGTGCCTAAAAAGTCTCCTGTCACCTGGATGGTGTGTAGGATAATGGGACTGGGTCAAAATTTGATTTCTTTCATTTTCTTTTCCTTTATCCATTTACTCCCTTCCTTGTCCTTTTCCTTTCCTTTCCTTCCCTTTCCTTCTCCTTTCCTTCCCTTCTCTTCCCTGTCCTTTTCCTTTCCTTCTCTTCCCTTCCCTGTCCTTTTCTTTCCCTATCCTTCTTTATCCATTTACTTCCTTCCCTTCCCTGTCCTTTTCCTTTCCTTCCCCTTCCCTTTGCCCTTCCTTCCTTCCTTTCCTTCCTTTCTTTCTTTCCTTCCTTCCTTCCTTCCTTCTCTCTTTCTCTCTCTCTTTCTCTCTCCCCCCTCCCTCCCTCTTTCTTTCTTTCCTTCCTTCCTTCCTTCCTTCCTTCCTTCCTTCCTTCCTTCCTTCCTTC